TCTGTTTTTCCAACTTTATTGAGATATGATTGATGTAGAATATGATGTAACTTGAAGGTGCACAGCATGTACTGCACTATGTTACCACCGCACTCTTGGCCCACGACACCTCCATCACATTCCATAATTACCATTTCTCTTTTGTGGTGAGGACATTTAAGATCTATTCTCTTAGCAATTTTCAAGTATATAATACAGAATTGTGTGTGATCACAGTGCTGTATTTTGTTTATTTATTTTTTAGCTGAGCCATCTTGCCACCTGTTGGCAGCTCAGCGGCTGCTCAGCTCAGGCCAGGACTCGAACTGCTGTTGCTCAGAGCTCACACTCTTGAGCGAGCTCTTAACCAACTGAGCCACTTGGCCGGCCCCAGCAGTGCTGTGCTCTAGATCCCTAGTACTTACTCATCTTCTAGGGCTTTTCGTTTTCAGTTGCAGGAATTCTCTCTCAGCCTTCCATTTATCATATACCGTGTAATTCTGTAGGATGAGGGGAGGGGAGGCGAGACAGCAATAGTATGCAGCACTTCCCAAACTTATTTGGTCATGGAATCATTTTTAGAGAGCTTTTCGGGAACTTGGCATGCCACAGGATACTGATTGGTAAACGTGGTTAGGCTGAAATCATTTGACAGAGAAAACTGAGGCGCAGATAATTTAAGGTACTCACTCAAGTAGCTAGACCTAGTGAGATTCCAGACTGTCTAACTCTTAGGTCACTGCTCTTTCTGCCAGCAAAAAATGGAGATTTAATGGCTCAGAAGACATATAAATATATTAGAATGTAAATAAGATTTTTGTTGTCATCTTTTAAAATTGATTGAAGCCTAACGTCTGGCCCAGGCCTAATGTCTAGTTCTAAGCAAAAGAGGCAGAACAAGTGGTTAGTCCTTTCAGCTACATTGCTGACAGATGCAAAAGAGAGTATGAGTTTAAGGAATTACCCGAATCTGCTCTTTTTACTCCCCACTAAAATGAGGATAAACGGTCATAATTCTCAAACCTTAGTTTTGACACCCTGCTAAACATAGATTTAATTTTCATTCTGTTGATGTCTTTTTAAATGGGTATTAGCTATGTTTTTAGGCTGCTTTTGAAGTTCTGGTTTTCCTGCAGTGAAAATGAAATAATAAAACTTTTGTTTCTTTTGTGGAATCAAATTAATTTCTAAGAATCATAGGTTTATAAGAGACACATTCTTAACATAAAACTTAGTTTTTCCACTGCCTTAAAACAAGTCAATTAAAAGTCGTATAAATATGTACCAGAACTTTTGTAGGGACATGGGAAGGGAGTCTTAAAATGTTATCTAACTTGACAATAATTAAGACTCTTAACTGAATTAAAGCTTCCAAATTCCTGATAGAAAAAAAAAAACTTAGTATTTTACATTGAGGTATGATTTAGATTGACAATTACAAAATTTTAAATAAAGATTTTATTAGAATACTGCCTAAAATAGTCGGGTTTGTCCCCTGACAATGTGTGAGATAGTAAGTACCATGTGCTAGGCGAAAAGCCAAGGAAATAGGACGAGCATCAGTATTTTGTTTATTCAGAGAAATTTTGGACAATCTACATGAGCAGTTAAAGCCTTGGAATTCACCTTGACAAATAGACACACCTCACTGATGTTCCTCGGTTTAGAAAAAAAAATTGTGGCTTATCTTGTAAAAACTGCTGTTCAGTGTTTCCTGTTTTTTAAAGTAAAGGAATTTAACATGGTTCCTCATTAAATAGGAATCGCATTTCAGGAACATAGTAGCTTAAGTTACTTATGTGTTGAATATTTTATATTACAAAGATAAATACTTGATTATAATTTTACTGGAATATTTTGACAAAATTAGTAGTGTATATTCTCTCCTGTTTATTGCCTTTCCCCACCCTCAAATAACTGGCATGGTTAATACAAGTTTTGGGAAAAAAAAGAATTTACGAATTGTAACTGATAGGAGGTTTAACTACAATTTTGCGTGCTTAGAAAGCTAGAAAATTTTGTTAAGCATTAAATGCTTCTCTGGACGGAATGAGAATGTGTTATGAGACAGGCTACCAATGACGAGTAGAGTAATGGTGGTAGGAGCGGTGAGTAACATGCTTTAGAAGAAGCAAGGTCAGTGAGGAGCTGCAGCGGGAGTCCTGATCTGTGTGAATTCTTTTCTCCTTTTAGAGGCCTGAAAGATTTTTAAATGGTACGGATGACTTTGATGTCTGGATCCTAAATATGGAACATAATCTTTATGTTTACAAAAAAACTCAAGAGTAGACAGGATAATTGACAATTAAAATTTTTATGGATTTTATCAAGTGAATCAGATTAATGTTCTTAATATTGTTATTGACAAGAAACTTACCTGTTTAAACTTGAAAAGCCAGATGTCAGGCAGGCTGTTCCTATTTTCAGCTATCGATATATATTAAATCAAGATACTTCCTAGAAGTAATCTTTGAAATAAATCATGAAAGATAAAGATAATGGCTGTGTTTGCCCTACATTATCTGGAATAATGAAGTATATCCCGGTCTGTAAAATCAGCAAGATATTTTGTAAAACAAATTAAATTCTTTATTTTCTCAACATTATGCCTAAATAACTGGACTAGGATCCTTTAAACCTATTAACTATACCCATAACACAGTATGTTTGAGTAGCCCTATTAGTGTGACTCCATTAGAAAAGTGGTATCACTGTGGGCTACCAGCTGCAGCCATAGTCTTTTTCACTGTTATTGTTATAATAGACTTTTTTTTAGAGAAATTTTACATTCACAGCAGAATCGAGCCATTTTTTATACTGATCAGCCATCATGGTGGTTAGTATTTGTTAAAAGGTGTCTTTCACTGTCAATTTCACTGTATATACAAAATGTATTTTGCAATTATATTTGCTTTTTTATAATTGTTCTTTTTCAAAGTACTACCATTTGTACTGAATGTGATAATATATAGTTTCATTATGAAAGAATTTATCTGGAGGGAAATAGCAATGGGTTTTTCTGGTACACTAATCGAGAAGCAGCATTTTTTAACCTTCTCATGTGTGTCTTTTGATTTATTATTCTGTTTTTACTACTTGGGGGACTGAGAACTTCATGTATTTCATGTTTTGGCAGCTTCAAACAGGATAAGGATGTGTAGGTCTGTTTTGAAAAAGCTGTGACAGGAATGTTTCATATACACATGACAAAGATGTGTGTAAACTATTGGAGCTTCAAGGAGTCGTTAGTTTTCTTGGGAAGTATTTATATGCTTCCCTTTATTGTTATTTAAAGTGACTTCCATCCTAATTGACGCATCAGTTATTACCACACCAGAACCACGTTTAAATTCTAAAGTTTAATGTGTATAATATAGTTAACATCACATACTGGAGAAAACCCCAAAAACTCTACAATAGCAAATTCTCACTTTAAAAAAGGAACTCACCATGCTTCCTATTTCTCCACTGTCAAAACTAGCGAGTCTTTGTCACTTGTTTCTCTTGGGAGGAAGGGTAAGGATTGCCTTATGTTGGACTCCTCTGGGAAGAGTCCAAGACCACAAAGTTTGCACTTTACATGTCAGTAGAGTTATTTGTTTCATATCAGCATTATGAAAATTTAAAATTCTGGTATGTCTTGCACTTTCAGAAAGTTCTCATAACAGTTAATATAATTGAATTGCATATTGATATTATTTAAGAAAAAAAGTCTTATAGTCTCGATTTTAGTACACCCTATCTTCTAGGGACTAGATGACACTCGTTATCTACGGGGCTTTTGCGTGCGCTAGTACTATCTTAGGAATATATTTGCTTTGGTATTTGGGGGAGGAAGTGCCTGATACACTTTTTGAACTTGCTTATGGAAAACTTTAAATGTTCACACAGTGGAGAGACTCATCTAATGAATCCTCATATGCATCTCCTGCCCTCACTAGTTTAATGGCCAGTCTTGTTTTATCTGCACACTCACCCCTTCACTTCCCTCCTGACCCCCAATGGTTTTGAAGGAAATCCCAGACATCATGTAATTTCACTGAGAAATATTCCTATGTGTGTCTCTAAAAGAGAATCAAGTTATTTGTATTCCCTGGGAGTACTAGCCCGCTTTGTTGTGGAGAGGAAGTTCAAGAGTGCTTGGAACCAGGCCTGCCATTGCATGTTTTTTGTAGTTAATTTGCATTTAGAAAGATCAAGAGTTTATACTACTTGGGGATTTTATTATTATAGTAAATCTCAAAGGATTCGAAATGTTGATTTTGTAAATAACATCTAAGAAAACATTATGAATTACCATTATGAATATGTATGAAGTTGGGGCAGTCCTCCGCTTCAGCGCTAACCTGCAGGTTACTGTGTCATTTGTGCATGGCTCCCTCCCCCCAACGTTTATGTTTCTTTATTTAAATGCTAAGAGACAGCACACATCATTTCAGATGAAATTCCGTAAGCCTCTGTGTATTAAAGAGAGCAGATAGAATAGGTGTGCATATGGGGCTAAGAAAAAGGGGAAGGGAACAGGGTAAACGGGGACGCCCAGGTACCAAATCGTGGAGAAATAACTTCTTTTTTTTTTTTCACTCGGTCTCACCCACCCTCCTCTCTTGGTCATGACTTAATTTCTCCCTTTTTCTGGCTCCCCCTTTGGTTTATATCTTTTTCTTTGGCATTTATGGTCAGGTAGATTGCCGATTCCTTCCTTAGAGGATATTTTATTATTCAGGGGTTGCGAGATAACGCTTTAAAAAATGAAATATTGCAGGACTAATTTGTTGTGCTTTGTTTATACACCAGATTTTAAAAAATATTTAAACTAATTCAGATAGTTGGGTACCTATTATGGGCTAGATTGAACTTTGGATGAATTATACAATGTTTGGAAGCATTAGTTTTGTATAGAATTTTAGGTTTACTTCATATGCTCTTACTGAACAATCATGCAATAATTTTTCCTTTTTTGTCTTCCTTTTGTTGCTTGTTTATTGGATGAAACGGATTCTATTCACATGTGACTGCAGTTCACAAGATTCCTGTGTAGCTCACCTTTGGAGGTAAGTTTACTCACTGATCTTAATACTAGAATCGCTAATTGAACATCACTATCGGTATCTTTTGTTAGGCATTTATTTGATAATTTAGGAGTGATCATTTTGTTGCAACACATACATTCTTCAATAACGTAATGAGATGAATACAGCCTTATTTTAATAAAAATTCCTAAAAGTTACAGAGCTATTCACCTTCATAACAGGCCACTGCCTCTTTTTAAATACATTTTTTAAAAATAAGCAGAGTGAAATTAATCCTTTGTTTTAAAGATCCTTATTGTATCTTCTGTTCCCTTAACTGTTTAACATCAGCCTTATTCTTTCTTAATTGCTTTGGTGTTAAAGAGAGCCGGACAAGTCAGGGGCAGAGGCTGCCATCAAGGAAATGGCATCTGGTTTGAGAGAGCTTTTCAAAATCCGTGAATTGGTTAGGAAAGAGCTAAGGCCTCACCCTTTAACTGAGCTTTTCTTGTAACACAGGCACTAGTCTAGGTGCGTCTTGCACTTCCTCATTTAATCCTCGTAATGGTTCTGCAATGTAGGACTCAGACTCCAGTGATAAAATTATGAGATAAAGAAAAACTACTGGATATTCAGGGAACCAGAAATCATTGTGAGCTGCAGTGTAGAAGATGGATGCGACTGTGAGAAAGGAGTAGGAAAGGGGAGGCCGCGGAGGCTGTGGAGAGTTGATGGGACTTAGAGCCAAACGTGGGTTTAAGATCATGTCTTCACTTATGAGCCTCACAGGCAAGTCACAACTTCCCTGAGCCTCAGTTTTCTTATCTTTAAAATCCGTATAATTCCTACCTCTCAAATGAAGTAGTGGACATGGGAGCACCTTATAGTCTGTTCAGATCTTAGTAATGTTTTGCATTCTCCTCTTAGGATATACTTCAACCCCACACAGTAAGACTCTGTTCCCTGCCTTTCACTTGTCCTTCCTTTTGCCTCTTGGTTTTGTCACGTTTTGTTTCCTTCCCTCATCCCCGACTTGTTCAAATCCCTCTTCAGGATGAGCCCAGATCCGCTGTGAGGCTCTGTCTGATCTCTCCACTTGGAGGCAGTTGTTCCCTTTTCTGCTTCCATAACATGGTGTTTATACGATTATTGAAACTATTGTTATGTGATTTAGCTCAGCCTGGCACATTGAACACTCCTGGTGGCCAGTGTGAGTGATTGCTGGGGAAACTGATTAGACTAGAGAGGCTGGTACCCCCCAGATTTGGTTACATTTGCTAAATATCCAGGATCGGGGGGAAACAAAGCTCTATCGTGGAAAGATCCTGGCCTTTGAAATGAGAGGTACTTGGGAATCCCATGAAGAAGTCATTTCATCTTTGATTAACCTAAAAATGGAGATAATAATACAGGGTTATTAAAATGAAATGAGGTAATGTGTGGCAAACGCTCAGCACAATCCCTGTCACACAGAATTTTAAATAAAGTTTAGTGTAAAAACAAAAACCAAACCGTAAGAAACTTGAAGACAATATAAATTATATAACCTACTTTTTACTTGGTGAGCACTTTCTAAGCATAGAAGAATGAGAAGTATCAAAGGAAAGGATGGAAACATTAGATTCTGTAAAAAATCTGTAATTTTGTTCACAAAAACATACATATTTAAAAGGCAATTTAGGGAGAGTGATACAAAAGTTATTGTACTTAGTATAATGATCTCTTAGAATCAGTTTTAAAATGTGCTGTTTTCTGCATAATATTTGGTTGGATTTTATCAGGTAGTTGATGAGATGCAATACAAATTGTAATAAGTATGTCTCAAAAGTTCAGCCTTTTAAGTAATCAAAAAATGCAATTTGAAAAAGCAGTGATAGACAGTTTTATTTAACCTATCAAGATATATATATATATATTTTCTTTTTAAGATTTTTTTATTGGGGAATTGGGGGAGGGGAGCAGCATTGGGGAATTGGGGAAGGGGAATAGACAAGTTGGTATCTTTTTTGTTCGTCAGTCTGGTTGTGGAGGACAAGATATATATATTTTCAAAGTGAATGCTTAGGAAGATGTGATGAGATGAGATGTTATTAAATTTTGTCCTTTACAGAAATCAGTTTGGTGTTGTACATTAAAGACATTATATATAAATTTATACCTTCTGGGTGAGTAATTCTAGTCTAAGAACCACTGCCAGAGAAATAATCAAAGATGGGGACAAAGCTTGCAAAAACATGTTTATTATATCATTATTTATAATGGCAAAAAATTTATAAACAACCTGTGTTCAACAGTAGGAAAAGGTCAGATAAACCATGGTACAGCCAGCCATATGATAAAACACCCTATAGCCATTAAAATAGGGATTATGCATGTATGTTCTTGAGTACATATTGATAAACAACAGCGTAAAATACTTTTGCCCTATTAAGATAAAAACAGGATGTGAAATTACACATGCAGATCTAAATTTAAAAACAATTTAAGCCTACAGAAATTAGGCGAAATTTTAACATTAACTACGAAATGTTAACTTGTTTTACCTTTTGCTCTCCCATGAAGGAGCCTCACTGGGGAGAAGAGGTACCTTGGAAGGTTTTTGGTGGTCGCTCCTGTAGTCACTGTTTGACTGTGATGTACATCTGGGAAGTTTCTGATGTGGAAACAATCAATTGATGTAGGTAGGGTAGGGTCCTGGAAAAAAGACAGAAGCTTAGATGAAGAGATAATGTTGATAATGTTTGAGGCTGGACTGTCATTTCAGCAAGAATTTAGAGGAGTGACTAAGAAGAAGGGTTGTGAGCAGAAGCAGTTCGGCTTGATTGACTTACTGCGGTAAATTAGGGGGCTGGAGCTTGATGTCCATTCACTGGGGCAAGTAGCAGTTTGAAGATGTTTCTAAACAACCGCAAAGATGCTTCTAAATAGACCTCACTAATAATATCCATATTTTGGCAGGACTCAGCTAAAAGCCCTCAAGGCCTAATATTTATGTTCAATATGGTTAATAATCTATTCCCAGCTAGGTTGTAGCTATTTAGATCAGGATTTTTGTCTTTTTCATTTTTGGATTCTCTCAGGTAGAGATAGGGCTTGGAGTGTACCAACCATACACCTGGAGTTGTACCAAACAAATTTGTTTTTTGAATTACATCTTGCTACTCTGGTTAAATATTGGGGATCTGTGTGGAAGCTTTAATCTTGGGTGAAAAGTAGAAGGGAAAATCTGATCGAAGCTTAGGGATGATTTCTGTCCTTTTCTGTCTGATTTGCTTTCTCCACTTAATGAGCTGCAGTTGTATTTTACCTTGGCTACATTGTTCTATTTCTTACCGGACTTATGGACATGGGGGAGGAAAAAATAAAATTAAAGGTGACCAATGTGCTTTTCTTGAAGTATCTGGGAAATACTTGACGGCTTTCTTGCGATATTTTTGTAGCCAGGAATTTCACAGGGGCCGCCAGATGGCATCGTCAGTGGCTGCTCCCCTCCTCCCCCGATTTCCAGCACCAGTGAACTCGGGACCCCATTCCTTTGGCCCCTCACAGAGCCTGGGAGCCAAAGCAAAGCCAAGGCTGGAGAACGTTGGGCGCCTCTAATGTTTAATTTTGCTGTGAAGCTTATGTTTTAACTGGCGAAGGAAAATTACAAATATGGTAGATACCCAAACACCTTCCCTAATTTTGAATAAAAGAAAAATAATTCTGGTAGAGACAATAAAATACGTGAGACTTGCATTTGGAAATGAAGGAGACTTTGAATTTCACTTTGTCCACAAAAACGACGATGAATGAACCGTATCCCTTTGTTGTAAGTCCTCAGCAGTTAACTGCCACATGAATCTTACAGAATCGTCAGGTTATAGTAATTACATCAGTAATTTGATCTGCTGTCATTTGAATGGAGCCATGTGTGGAGAGTCAGTTACTTCCCTCTGTGGGGGTTGACCCTTTTACATTCCTGTAAGCCAGAGACTAATAGAGCTCATTAAGCTTTATGGGAAAAGAGCTTTTATCACCTCGTCAAGTCAGGCAACATATTTCCATGCGAGTCCCAATTTCGCGGGGCTCTGTAGCTGCTGATGTGCACTCCCCTGCTAGGTTTACGTCGGACCTCTCCCTTACAGACATTTTTATTGACATTTCTAAGTCTGAATTACATTCTGTGTGGCACCACCTACAGATGTCTTCAATTAAGTGGAGGTAAATAAAAGGGATTACATATCAGAGGCTAAAAGATTCTTGAAATTCTCTTCTGAGTCCAGCTCGGCCAGCCAGTCCAGTAGGGTACAGTCTCTCCGTCATTTTGGGGGTAGAGCCACCCCCTCATTTGGGGGGAGGCATTTGGAAGAAAGGCTAAACCATGTGTGAATGCAGCCCCCTTAGAGTCCTCTTCAGCTGTGTTCTCTGTTTCCTCATTTCAGATCCATTAAGACCTTCCTCATTTCCAGTTATAACTTCTCGAGAAGTTAGCACAGGTCGTGTCTGAGTGTGTGCTAAGCTCTTTGCTTGCATGGTTTTAATCCTCAGAGAGTGTCCATGAGGTAGATGTTCCCCATTTTCTTATGAAAAAGTTTAGCCTAGATAAGTAGATTAGTTAAGCTCAGTTTCACAGCTACTGGTGTGTGACAACAGTAACAAGATAGGAAGGAGAAAATATAATGAAACTGCTGAAAGATTCTTATGTTACATGAAGTGATAGAATATCGAAGGAAGACAGTTTCAGATGTAAGTTTGAGATGTATTTTGTAAACTCTAGAGCAAGGTTTCTCAGCCTTGGCACTATTGGCATTTTGAGTTAAATCTTTTTTTGTGGGTGCTATCCTGTGTGTTGTGTGATGCTGAACAACGTTCCTGACTTTACCAATAGATGCCGGTAGCACCCTCCCCCCGAGTTGAAACAAATGTCTCCAGACTTCACCAAATGTCCTTAGGGAAAAAATTGGCTCCCTGTTGAAAACCACTGCCCTTAGAGCAGCCTTTAAAAACAAAAACAAAAACAGATATAGTTAATAAGCCAATAGTGAAGATAATAGCAACGA